AGTTTGGAAGCCCAGCTTTGCCAGCCAGCATGGGTACCACTCCTACTTTGTTCTCCATATTCCAGTTGTCTTTATTGGGAATGACTTTTCAGGGCTCTGGTGAAGAGAGGCTTATAGCTGCTTGTCTGGGAAGGCTTGTGATCTCGGCCCTGGGAGAAGTGTGTCTGTTTATTCTGCAGGGAGAAAGTTGGCTGGGGATGAAATCTTTAAATATGATTAAGGCTCAGGATACAATGAAATAGAAAATGATTGGGGTTCCATTTGGTTCCAGTTGGTTCTTGTCACTAACAAGCTGTGACCTTTTTTTTTGGTACCAGGGATTGAACCCAGGATGCTTAACCTCTGGGCCATATCCCAGCCCCTCCCCTCCTTTAATTTTTTTTTTTTTTTTAAATTTTGAGACAGGGTCTCACCAAGTTGCTTAGAGCCTTACTAAGTTGCTGAGGCTGCTGTGAATTTGTGATCCTCCTGCCTCAGGCCCCTGAGTCACTGGGATTACAAGCATGTGCCACTGTGCCCAGCCACTCAGCTTCTTAAGTCCCTTAAGAAAAATCAGGCAAGAGAGGTTATGAAAACTATATGTCCTATCCAACCTAGTTTAAAAGTAAGGAATCCCTGGCAAAGGACATTTGGTGTCCCCGGATGAGTGGGGGAGGTACCTGCTCCCCCAGCAGCTCTGTTTTAGTGTTGGAACTGCCCAAGACTCTGTCTGGACCTACATCTCCAAGGTTTTCTTATAATTTTAGGCCCTTTTCATTTCACCCGTCCTTGAGGTTCCTTTCAGCTATACCCCTGGTTCTCACTGGCTTCCTCAGATGATAACGATGCTTTCTCTAGAGGACAGAGCATTTCTATGACAATGTCTGTTCTCTGAAGTGGGCTCCTGAATCTAGCTTCAGGCCTCAGACTTGCTGGAGTGAGGGAACCAAGAACCGTGGTCTGGACAGTTTTTTTATAAGAGACCCCGGCCCCGGGCTCAGTCATGTGCCAGACAAAGTCATCTACTAACAAAGTAGATGGGTACTGTGGACACTAGAGGTGTCAGTCATTAAAAGTCTCAGGCTGAGATGAGGGCTCCTGGGACCCCAGAGCTGGCTTGACAGGTCTTTTCTGCAGCAGATTCCCAACACGGTCCTCAGTTGGGCTGCATGGAAAAGGTTCAAAAGGCACGTTTATTTGCGGCAGATGGTGGTTCAGGCAGCTTCCCCTTCTCAGGGAGGAAGGTGGAACTTTAGTCAGGAAGGAGGTGGGCTGGGGGCTGATGTTTGCTCTGGGTTCCTTTAGCTAAGGAGACCCATACTCCGTGGGGAGAGGAGATCTGCTTCCAGCAGGATTCTGTTGTCACTGGTTTTCAAAAATGGAGTGCTGTCCTCACCCTGGGGGCCTGCGGTGCTTATTTTATTTATAATCTCTTGGCTAAGTCCTAGCTTTGTCAGCATGTCTTTGCCAGATCACGTGACCGATCACGTGATCAGGGTCAGGGTCAGGGTCACTCCCGGTGAATTGGGCTGGCCAACAAATCATTCAGACACAGAAAGTACCTTTTTCTTGGGGTTCCCTGACAGCTCCTCTGCCTCAGCTCCCACAAGGGAGGCAAGAGGCCAGCAAGAGAGAGAGAGAGAGAGAGAGAGAGAGAGAGAAAGAGAGCATGCCCTCAAACCCTATTTTTTTTGGGGGGGGGAAGACACTCGAGAAAGTTCCACCCAAATGAGGCAAGGGATTGGGTTTCAGCGGTGCGTAGCCTAGTCCCATTGAGTGACGCCCACTCCCAGAGCTGTAATTCCTGGCTGATAGAAGGTGGTGTCCACCTGCTTTCACGCTGCAGCAGAGCCAGTTCCAACCTTCATTGCTCAAGGCTAAGGGTGTGTGCTCAGCTCCTATTCATGGTGGCCCTCGACATGTCTTTATTTTTTCCTTTCTAATTTTTATTGTAAAGTATACAAATCAAAATTTGCCAACTTTTTTTATAAGTTTTTTTTTTTTTTTTGAGAGAGAGAGAATTTCAATATTTATTTTTCAGTTTTCGGCTGACACAACATCTTTGTATGTGGTGCTGAGGATCGAACCCGGGCCGCATGCATGCCAGGCGAGCGCGCTACTGCTTGAGCCACATCTCCAGCCCCAAAATTTGCCATCTTAACTTTTTTTTTTTTTTTTGTGGTGCTGGGGATTGAACCCAGGGCCTTGTGCATGTGAGGCGAGCATTCTACCAACTGAACTATACCCCAGCCATTCTTAACCATTTTTAAGTGTACAATTCGGTGACCTTAAATATATTCACAATGTTTTATAGCCATAGCCACTCATCCATCTTCAGAAGTTTTTTTTTTTTTTTTTCCTTTTCCCTCTCTCTCTCCAAGTGTAAAAGAATAGGATTTATTCAAGTGAGAAGAAAAGAAACTGAGTTCTTGCAGGGCGAGAGGGGACTCAATAGGGGTTGCCCAGGTCTTCTCATCTTGTAAAACTGAAACTCTGTACTCATTAAATGTTAACTCCCCGTTTTCCTCTCCCCGGCCCCTGGAAACCACAATTCTTTGTGTCTCTGACTGTGACTACTCTAAGTACCTCACAGAAGTGGACTCATACAGTATTTTTCCTTTTGTGACTTTCACTTACAAAATGTCCTCAAGGTTTGTCCATGTTACAGCATATGCCAGAATTTCCTTCCTTCTTAAGGTTGAATAACATCTACTATATGTATCTACCACATTTTGCTTCTCCATTCATCTGTCCACAGATGCCTGGGTTGCTTCCATGTTTTAGTGATTGTGGATAATGCTGCTGTGAACATGTTATTAGGTCATATGGTAATCTATTCTCAGTTTTTTTGATGTGTGTGTGTGTGTGTGTGTGTGTGTGTGTGTGTGTGTGTGTGGTGTTGGGAATTAAACAAGGGCCTTATGCATGTACTACTACTGAGCCACATCCCAGTCCCATCTTTTTTTTTTTTAATTTTATTTTATTTTAATCTTTTGTTGTTGTTGTTTATTATGTGGTGATGGGGTTGAACCCAAGGCCACATACATGCTAGGCAAGTGCTTTACCACTGAGCCCTCCCCAGCCTGAATTAGTTTCTTTTTAATATCAGAAATTCAAATTCCTTTTTGGGAACCCATTTCTTTGCTTTATTTCTTAAAGTGTTATAGGTAGGCAACACTCAGCTTCCCGGCCTTCCTTCTATCTATAGAGAAACTGCATTTCTCTGAACCCATCCCCTCTACCCACTCAGGTCTTCTGCCCAGCTGGGCTTTCACAGCCTGATGGCTGGGTGACATATCAATATTCTTCTACCTCTGTGCTCCCCAAAACACACAGCGTGCTTTGTTTGGTATATTTACCCCTCAAGAAGTGTGTCAACTTTGGGAATAAATGCAATATTTATAGAATGTAAAGATTGGAATTTTGGTCAATGTATATGAAGCCTCGTGGAAAATTATAGATAAAATGCCTTTTTAGTAGACTAAATTGGGGATTTTAGTGACATTGAGCTTTTGTTTGAATAACTGGGCCATGCCTAGGACTAGGAAGCAGTTTCATCAATACCATATTTTTCAGTCTTAGTTTTCTCTAGAAAATAAACCCTTATTCTAATCCAATTGGAGGGAAATAATCAAAAGAGCTTAAACAGAGAACAACCAGAGAGGGTCATTCCTTACCTCACATGGCACTTCCAAGAACTTGCCCTTCCCACTGGCAGGAGAATCCATGAAACAAATCACTATTAGCTGTGGATTTTCTTGGCCTTTATTTGGCCAGGGAAATGTGGGGCACTAAGGAACCTAACTTGCAGGCTGCTACCCACTTCCTGGTCCTGGGGGCCACATGTGGCTAAGATGGCGCCTGGTGATCAGCCAGAAGGTGGTGCTGTGGGTTGTGATGAAAAATGGGACCCCCTCTAGGATAGGCCCAGGACTCTTCCGCCCTCGTGGACAGTTCATGCTTTCCCTTACAGCCCATGGAATGGGAGAACGTGAGCCCTTCCCGCCCCACCGGCCTTTGCTCTGATTGGCTTCTGTACTCTGTATTAGCTGTGTGTGCTTCCTCAATAAACGAGCTCCTGCCTTGACTGGTCTCCCTGATGTGTCTGATTGTCCTCTAGAGAGCGAGGGAGGGCTGGGTGCGGGTAGTCAGTCAGCCCTCTCCTTTCTTGGCTCGTCCTGGCCGGGGCATGCTCTCCCTATCTCTCCTGCAGGTCGGGAGGGAATGAGGACTAAAAACCCCGACAGGGAAGAAGTCAAGAATATTGAAAATCATCACCAACCAGTGGGTTTCTTTCTTCACTTTCCCTGACCCTCAGAAATGCAAGCTCTTTTATTCTTTCTCTTACTTTACCCTAGTAGCTATTTGTCTGTGTTACCTCTAAACTAGAAATATACATTCTAGACACGTACTCAGTTTAACAAAATCCACAATAAAATACTTTAGCTGTCCTTGGAGTTTGTGATAATGGAATTTTACTTGTATTGAGGTGGCTAGGGAGAAAAATAAAATTGTTAAGAGGAGGAATGTAATATGGTGGCTTCCAGGGAGGAAGCAGATGGCTTGCTCTTGCTCCCTGACTTGGAAAATTCATCACTTTTTTCTCTTTACTTTCTTTTGGGTCTCAGGATTATTTTCCTTTTTGGAAAAAAACTCTTTTTTTTTTTTTCTATTTAAAATTCCAGACAGAGGGGCTGGGATTGTGGCTCAGAGGTAGAGTGCTTGCCTACATGCGTGAGGCACTGGGTTTGATCCTCAGCACCACATAAATATAAAAATAAAGACATTGTGTCCACCTAAAACTAAAAAATAAATATTCAAAAAAAAAATTCCAAACAGAGAGAGAAAGAAAAAACAAGAGCTAATTCAGCTCTTGTTGACTTAAAGATTAGTCCAGGCAATCTGAAAGCTTGCTTTGGGAATGGTAGCTCCCTTACAGAAGTGAAAGAGACCAGTCTCCTTTAGGATCCAGAGAAAACAGGGATGAGCATGTTGCCAAGACACCAAGCACTCACCCAGGCTGCTGTGCACATGTCTTTATTTCAGAATTTGGACCTGGAGGTGGAAGTATGGTTCCTAGGCTTACTCCACTGCAGGAAAGTGGACAAAACTCAACAAAATGTTAGCATCTTGCAAAATAAGCCAGGGCATTAACATATTTCTGTAAGAGCTAATCCAGGCCAAAAGAGAGGGTTAGGAACTCACTGTCTTCTGCAAACGTGCGTGGAAATGATGCTCAGGGCAAGGTGCTGATTTTAGCAATATGAGGAACCTGAGGAACAGGGAGGAAAAGGACAGTTTGATTTGAGAAGAAACAAATGAGGTGATTCCTCAAGGACTGACTGGCCTCAGGGTCCGGCAGCTCTGTTGGCGGTGCCTTCTTCCCTCTGGGGCCACATGGAGTTTTTGAGACGGTAGGGCTGAGTAGGGAACTGGGGTGCTCTGGGGGGATTTCCATTTGCATGACTGGAGGAAGGTACCTGTTCTCCCTTCCCCCACACTCCCCCAAAGGAACCGAGTCAGGGGAGGGAAGGGGTCTAGTATGTGATGTACTTGGATATCATCAAAATTCTTAGGTCAGAATGAGTCTTAATTTGCCTCTTCCATCATCAGAAGTGGAGACCGTTATCACCGGTTCAGGTTAACTAAGCAAATGAACCGAGGTCTTGAGGAACCTGTCTTCTTCTCCCTATGTGAATTCCCATCTGATGATCTTTGAAAAAATAACATCACACTGTTGTTGTTTTGGCACATGGGACTAAGAAAGAAGAACCTAACACAGTAGCAAGAGACAAATGGCACACGTACCTGGGCAGTGAGGCATCCCAATGATCTTGGTGATGTCCACTTTTGGGCCCATGAGGCCACACATTTTCCCTCGCTGGGTGGGCTCCAGTTTGCTGGGGCCTAGGGCTTTGGTGCACATCTTTGAGTTCCCGGCCAATATCTTCTCCTCTATCTCACTCTTCAGCTTCTTGTTTTCCTGCTGCAGATGGACCATCACATTGTGCAGGTGGCTGTGAAAAGGAGAGGGAGGGGCACGTGGGTATTTGGACTGCGTGACTTGCTTGGTTCCTTGCTGGAAAGAACCGATAAGGGTGTCACAGGAAGGAAGGTGCAAAGGCACAGGGCCTCTCAGAGCTGGGTTCTTAGTACACACTCTGGAAATGGAGGCCTGTGTGTGTCCCTTTGGAAGAAATCCAGGTCTGGGGTTGGGGAGAACCCAGAACTAGGACTCCTGACTCCCTCTCTTAGCTATGGGTCCTTTTCTGTTCAATTGGGAAAATCAACTCTGACCTGCATGTTGGGGTTCATGGAAAGATCCAGTTGGACAAATGGTAGAAATCTGAAGAGCCAGAAGGCTCTTTTGAACAATTATGATCACGTGTCCTTGCGTTCTCATGACTGTGCCAGGGCAACACTCACACAGTACAATGCCAAAGCCCCAGTTTTCTCAGCCTCCCTTTGCTTAAGAACAGGGAGCACAGGGACTTGCGGTCCTGTTGAGAATTCAGACAAATTCCTTACTCCCATTTCACAGATGAGGAAGAGGAGGCTGTGAGGTAGGTGAAGGGAAAATAATTTAGCCTATTTCTCATGGATCAAAAAAATGGCAGCTATTATCAATAGTTGCATTTCTCTGAATTAATGTTGAGAACAGTGGATCACAATGGGTTCTGAAACAGGACTTCTGGAGTTGGAATTCTGGTTCTGTCACTTGCCGGCAAAGGCAAGTGACTGAACCTTTCAGTTCCTCTCTTTGCTCATCTGTAAATGGTGCAATACCTACAGATAGTCCCTGACTTGTAATGGTTTGACTTAACAATTTTCTTTTCTTCACAATGGTGTCAAAACCATACATGTTCAAGTAGAAATCCTACTTAGAACTAGGCGTTTGGATCTTTTTCTGGGCTGGCAATATGCAATACAATGCTCCTTCTTCAGATGCTGGCCAAAGCTGCACATTACAGCTCCCAGGCAGCCACATGATCATGAGGGGAGGCAAATGAAGCTCTGCCAGGTACTGCGCTGTTGTGTCTGGTAGGTTGGGGGCACTGGATGCATTTTTGACTTATTAATATTTTAACTTCTAATGGGTTTATTCAGACATAACTCCACCTCAAGCTAGGAGCAGCTGCATGCTCAATTCATGGGGTTGTAGGAAAATGAACACGTGCAGCACTTAGAACAGTGCATTGAACGTGTAGAACAAGAAATATTAGTTGAGCTAGTAAGATTCGTTTTTTGTTTTTTTCAAATAGGATCAGGCAAATTCTTGACTCCTTTGTGAAATAAGACTTTGGCAACTTGACACTATCTAAGAAAAGCCTGAAGTTATTGGCTAGTTTTCAGATTCTGACAACTTTTCTTTTGTAAAATCCCCTCAGGAATGTTTTTGTCCAGTAAAGAATGTCCTGGTTCTTTCTAGAGGAAACTGAACAGTGAATCCTCAGCCTCTTCTCTGAGCCTGTGCTCCACCCTCTTGCTGTCCACAAGTCTTAAGCCACCTCTTTCTGTTGCTCCCACTCCCCCAGGCTGGATGACAAAGGCCTTTGTCCCCTGGCTCACCCCCACTCTCCCTGGTGCCCTATAGCCAGGCCAGCATCCCTGATGCCTTCAACATTCCATACAGCCAGTCCAAGTCCTGGCCTTTTGGGTCCTTGAACTATGTGGTCTTGTCCTTCAGCCCAACTCCGCCCGCCTCCCCGCCTAAAATCAAAGCCAAAGACCGAGCTTTGTGACTTGGAGCGATGAATGGGTTCCAGGAATGCTGCAGTCCAATGCCCTCCAATCCTGGGGGAGGGTTTGGGGCAGCTGCTGCTCAGTCAACTTTGGGCAAAGCAGGCTCATCCCGGGCCTTCCCAGCATGCCTGGCAAAATCTCAGGGAGCAGTGTCTGGGGCTTGTCCTCGCCTGTCACTTTACCACTGCCCACATCTCAGTTTCAGACGTTGACCCCTTCACCTCTCAGCTTGAAGTTCTTATACTCACTCTCGGCAGACCTAGCTTTGACCTGAAGGTGAAGCAAGACCACAGGGGAGAGTGGAGCCCCAGGTACAAGGGACCTATGTCCCCGATGGCCAGGAGGAAGAGCGGATCCCCCAACTGGGGCCGTGCACCTCAGACCATCCCTCGAAGGCCTGTCTGTCTGCACTTCTCCATGGGGGACCTCTTTACATCAGCTCGGCCCCACCCTCACTAGTGCAGCCGCCTTTCAATTCCAGTTCCCTTCTCAGCGTTCTCGCCTTGGAGAATCACAGAGGCAAGGGAGGAAGGAGCACCAAGATTATGAAACCTCTGGTGAGAGGATGAAGGTCCGTGCGGCCCAGTGATGTGCCCAGTGTCACAGAGATGCAGGTTCCGGACTCAAGGGGCCTTCCACATTACCAAGCCTTTCCTTATCCACATAAAATGGTAAGGCCAGCCCTTCTCATAGGGTCCCAGGGAGCAGCCAGGGTGGTGTGGGTGGCTTACTCCTTTTCACCAGTCAGCTTGGCGATGTACTTGACCTGCTCACGGAGCTTGTTTCCTAGTTTCTCGTTGGCGATCCTGTAATAAAATCCACAGTGGGAAAGGGTGGTTGGTTCCCCGGCCTCCGGTGAGCAAGGGCACAGGCTGGCTGGGTGGGGCACTGGGTTCTCTCAGCAGGGCTTCTACTGGATCCCAGAGCCCCATGCATCATCCTGTCCCCAGAGCTAGAGTCTTCCTAGCACCTGGCAACTAAGAGGACTCTGTACTTAAGTGCTGTGCAGAGTCCCTGTGATCCCCAGGGGTGGTCAAAGGAATGAGTTTAAGGGATCCAGGTGAAGCCAGATACCAAGTGGGAAGAGAAAACCTCAGCAGCCCTTCAATCTTGACTCTGCCCTATTCCTAAGTCATCAGGACTTTCCTAACTTTCTCTAAGAGTTGGGCCCCCTCCATCTTATTCCCAACCCTTGGGTGAGGGCTGAGACTCCATCAGTTTCCAGTGACAGCGGGGTGTGTGTGTGTGTGTGTGTGTGTGTGTGTGTGTGTGTGTGTGTGACTAATTATTGGCACTTAGGTGCTTCCTCAGCTCAGCCTAGGCCCTGGGACCTGCCTCACTTTTCTCTTTCTTACTTACTTCTGCTCTTTTGCCCACTGTTCCATGTTGCACATGATCTGGTCGTTCTCTCGGTGGAGCCTACATGGGTCTTTGGGCACAGACCGCTGGGACAGGCAGCAGGGCTTCCATACAAGAAGAAAATGAGACATTTAGAGATGGGATCAGGGCCCAAACACTTCCTCTTCCCCAAGCCAGGTCCCTTCTCTCTTCCTGGGAGAAGAAAAATCAACTCTGCTGTCTAACCAGAGACCACAGTTGCCACACCAGGACATTCACCTCCTGCTGCATTCTGCACAGAGGTGACACCTCGGAGGGGGCACCATTTTAGGGTGCTCATTTACAGCAGAGACCATACATCTGTACACTCAAAGTAATGGTTTTCAGGCCAAAGGCACTGAAGTGACCTGTCCTAAAAAAGCAGTATATTTTAACAGATAGGGAAAAAATATCTGGAGAAAGAGATGGCTTCTTTCTAATTTTAACAAAGGCTTTGTAGCCACCTCAGAATGTCTTGAGGTCTCCTGCTGTGACCTTCACTGCTCCGGGAGTTGGGCAGGGGGCGTGTTCAGTTAGCCAATTCTACAGGGTTGGGCCATGAGGCTGCTTGGATGTACTCTGGAAGGGGACTTCCCAGGAGGTCGTCTGAGTCAGGGGTGTCTGATGTACTTGAGTCGGGAATGGGGTTTTTGTTCTGGTCCATACCTCCCTAGCAATGAAGCCACCAACATAGGTGGTGGCCCTGGAGGACCCAGCCCTTGCTTCGTGCTAATGGAGGTAAGTGGGGTTCCTTTCTTTTCTCCCAGCACCCCTACACCTCACCGAGGGCTGCCTTGTTGGGGTGGACTGAGAGGAAGTGGCGGAAGCCAAGCAGTGCCCACCCCACCTCCTTATCGTCTGCCAGGAGGTTCTCCTTCAGCGTGGTCATCTCCTCCTGGAACTCCCTGAGCTGCATCTCTTTGGCTGCCAGCATCTTGAGGTCGTTCTGGTGCTGTTTCTGCCACTGCAGCACCTGGTTGCTCATCTCCTCTAGCTTCTTGTCGAAGGCGTGCACCTACTCAGGAATGCAAAGTGAGGAGGGGGACCCCAGAGGACCCCAAAGACGGCCAGAGGGTGCCTTTCCAGCCTTGAAAGACTTGTTGGGGTATTTTATTTCCAGCGGCCAGCAGAGGGCACCCCTGCTCTGATCTTTGCCGCCTCTGCCTAAAGTTCCAGGAGCCAAGAAAATCGAGGGAACCCATTAGCCAAAGGGCATGCTTAGCGCTAAACAATTCTGGACGCGAACTGTGACCTTGTGGACTCCTAACGGGAGGCGGCTTGAGCGCCAGGCTTCTCCTCACCTCTAGCTCGCTCTGCTGGTGGAAGCCCTGCAGTTTTTTTAATTCCACATTGAGCTTTTTCATCCTGTCCTCATAAGCAACGATTTCATCCTCCAGGTGAGCTTTCTTGTCTTGGGCCTGTAACAAGCTTCGTTGCAGGTTCTTTGTCTCGGAGGTCACTTGATTGAGCTTCCGGTAAAGACAAAGGGATGAGAGTGGCCATCAGGACCCTCTGGCCCTCTCTGCTGAGTCCTGAATGGAAAAGGGTTCCAGTCCCTCCCTGTCCTCTGCCCAGGGTGGTGCAGATGGGTCCCTTACCTAGTGTTCCAGAGAGGGGTGGGAAGTGACACTGGTTGGTGTTCTGAAGCTCTCTCCTCAGCCCTCCATCCCACCCCCCCATTTCTTTTTTTTTGGGGGGGGGTACCAGGGATTGAACTCAGGGGCCCCTTGACCACTGAGCCACATCCCCAGCCCTATTTTGTATTTTCTTTAGCGCCTCGCTAAATTGCTGAGGCTGGCTCTGCCTCATTTCTCCTCTTCCCAGTCTTTTGGCTGGATCTGGAGGCAAGATCAGCACAGGGATGAGCACCCATTTCCCTGACAATCCTGGCTTTGGGAAAACCTTGCCCCAAGTCATCCCTGAGGAGAAAGACTCGTTAGACTTGGCCTCCATCTTTTCCTCTCCCCTCAAAATAAAAGACGCCCAGAGAGGAAGCAATCCTTCTCTGGACAGAGAGCCTGACCCAGGCCAGGGTTTGCGATGCCCTGAGGAGAGCCAGTTGTGCAGGAAACTGGGGATGAGAAGGTGTGGCCTCACCTTCTCCAGGGCTTGCGTCAGGTCATCCTGGCAGGTGGTTGACTTCCGGCATAAGTTATCATAGATTTCTTTAGCCACCATGGTCTGCATGCAGTGCTTCTCCTTCTGCAACGCCTTGTCCAGCTGGGCTTGCAGATTCGCTATGGCATCCTTGTGTTGGGCCATCTGTAGGGAGGGAGAGCATCACGGTCAGGTTCCAGCTCCTAGAGGTGCCCTCTCTGACCATAGGAAAGGGACAGGGGCTGGGCTCTGCTGTCTGCAGTAACCTGCAGAACAGTCTGTGTTAAGGTCCAAAGGCTCTTCTGCACCCCTCCCCCCACATTTCCTCCAAATACAAGAAGTGCCGGAAGTACTGGGGTGTGATATGCCAAATATGCAAAAAGTCCCTTCCCCAGATTCTGCAGCCTTTGATAAACACCTAGAACCCAATTCTAGGTTAGTCTTTTTTTTTTTTTTTTTAAATGATATCGGGGATTGAACCCAGGGGTACTTTTAACCAACACTTTTTTATATTTTAGAGATAGGGTCTTGCTGAATTAGTGCTCAGGGCCTCACTAAGTTGCTGAGGCTGGCTTTGAATTTGCAATCATCCTGCCTCAGCCTCTTGAGCTGCTGGAGTGAAGTTTTTCAGATGGAATTTTGAGTATCATCAACTCTAGAAATCAGCGAGATGAAGAGCATTATATTGGACTTCTAATTCCATGTTTTACATGTCCTGGTGGTGAAACTGTTCCTCAAGATAAAATAATTTGGTTTTCTAGAAACTGAAGCACATTTTTTTTTTTCTGGGGTTTTCCAAAAAAATGTGGAGTCAGCTGGGTCTCCCCAGTAACCTAGAGAAGTCATTAGGGAAATACAGTTCAGAGTGTTTGATAAGTGGTGGCTGAACTGAGAAATGTCACAATGAAGGTGAGTTAGCAGAAAGAAGGGGGGTCAAAAAAATCACGGTGATGCTAGAAGCCAAAATGGAAGCTTTGCTAACATGAGTAATTTAGCTTAGAAAAAGATGCTAAAAACTGACATGTAAATTATAGAATCAAGGAGTTCTAATGAAAGTTCTAATACAAGACCTACATTCTCTCCTGCCAAAGGCAGGCTATATATAGGTATAAATGGCTTTAGAGGTGCATTACATTAAGTCGTCCCCAAATCTTTTTTTTTTTTTCTCTTAGTTATTCCATCAGCAAGTCTGGTCGGTCTTGCCACTAAGTTCCTCACTGATACCACTCCAGCCTGGACAGGAATAGCTCCCTAACTCTGGCCTCCTTTGTTCCATAACAACTCCTTTCCAATCCATGATTGTGTGCCTGACTTCTGGTCTTTGGTATTCTAGTACACCTGTATCCTAAGCTGGTCACAAATACACAGAAACATACTCTTTCTTGCTTCATCTCCAGTAACTGTTCAATGTTTGAAGTTTGTACACACACACACACACACACACACACACACGAATGTATTTTTTGGGACATACATAAGACCTTCATTTATTTATTTTTATATGGTACTGAGAGTTAAACCCAGTGCCTCACACTTTCTAAGCAAGCACTCTACCAGTGAGCCACAACCCCAGCCCTTGAGTTATATTTTGAAAACTGAAATCAGATTGAATTATCTATCTTATCCCTTTGAGGAAATATTATCAGATTAAGACCTATATGAGGGGCTGGGGATGTGGCTCAAGTGGTAGCGTGCTTGCCTGGCATGCGCGGGGCGCTGGGTTCGGTCCTCAGCACCACATACAAATAAAGATGCTGTGTCCACCGAAAACTAAAAAATAAATATTAAAAAATTCTTTCTCTCTCTCTTAAAAAAGAAAAAAAGACCTGTATGAACATAAAACCCCAAATTTCTTAACAAAAGCTATAATGTCTGCCCCTGTCTAATTTTCTAATCTGATCATATACCAGTATTTCCCTTAATCAATACACTTCAGTAATATTGGCCTTATTTCACCAAGAGTGTCCCAAGTGCCAAGTGTGTATTAAAGTGATACATGACACACATTCAGGATTTATACTAGAAATGCAAGGAGGGGACCAAATTAGGATCAGTTAATTAATTCACCAGATTTGAAAAGAAAGATATGATCATCTTGTTGGCTTTAAAAAAAGGACTTAAGAAAATTCTACATCTACTGCTAAAAACTTTTAGTAACTGAAGAATCAAAGAAACTTGATAAAGGATAGCAATAAGAAACCTACAAGGGTATCATACTAAAACAAGTGCATTCCTTTAAAGTTAAGAAAGAAAAAGATGCCTGCTAACAGGGTTGCTGTTGACCATCATACGGAAGGTACTGACTGTCCAGTGCAAGAAAAATCAATATACATATTACAAAGAAATATTTATAAGACTGTTGTTTGCAAATGACATCATTATCTACTTAGAAAAATTCATGAGAATCAAGTGAAAAACTATTACAAATTATAAGTGAGCTTAATAAGATGTCCAAATTCAGAATCAATATATAAAAGTGAAAGGAAAAAAAAAGCATATTTGGGCAAGAACTCAATTGTATTTTGCAAAATGGATCCATTTGTAGAAAAAGCTGGTGATGGTTGTTTTTGGCTTTCTTCTGAGATAAAAATGAATAATTGCCACTTCTGTCTACACTTGGTCCATGTCAAATTTATTTCTTATTTGAAGAGATTACTACTGTCTCTAACTCTAATTTTTGGATTAATAATTTGGCCTGCAATTTTCATTCAGAAACTTGCATGCTTCCTTCTGTTGTACTCTAGGCTGGGCTTGGACTCCATATTATGTACTTCTGGAAAAAGCTATGCTGTAACTATACCTTAAAAAAAGGGATTTAATTTCTCTTCCTAAGTTATCTAATCAGAAATGCCTGTGCATCTCTAATTTCTGGCAAAGCTGGGTCTCCAAAAAAGAAATTATCATTTTAGAACTGCTTATGGCATTAAGTATAAATAGGTCATTCCAGTTTTTGATAAAATGAAATCCAAAAATTTTATTGTGTCACATAGAAAATTAGTGACAGTACTATAATTGAAGTAGATCCTGAGACAAGAATTTGAAAGCAGACAATTTATTTGAGAGGCAATACCACCAGTAGAGAAATGGGTAGGCGATAAAGGAAAGAAAAAAAAAAAAAGAAACTAAGAACTAAAAATAGGAAACTATACAGTCTCTATTAGTTAACAGGTTTTTGTTGTGCCAAATTTAGGGGAAATGTTGAGGCTGGGAAACTACTATATGTATAGCCACGTGACAGGATGAATCATCTATAGATTTCCAGAGGATAGTTTTCCTATATTAAAGTGACTTCACTTCTGGTCACATCAAAGTTGTTCAGTTTTATTTAGATGATATATAGGATACAAATCCAAAGACATGTTTTGTATTTCAGAGAAATAAATGTTGACTGTGCAAACTGTCCTACCAAGAAAAGGTGAATGAACTTTCCTATTAACAGTAATAAATTATATAATGTAGTGGAAAAATACACTACGTCAAATACATTACAAGGATTCTATGATATATTGTCTTGTTTTCAGATGGGGAATTTTCATATCAATATATGGAATATTGATTAAAGGAAGTGCATTTTAGAAAGCAAAACGAATCCTATTTCTAATAGCAAATTGCCCTACCGTATGTGGGGTGTGTGCCTTTAGAAAAGTTGAACATGCTTACAAATCACAAAAGAAAAATCTTCCTGTTCAAGTAATTCTGAAATGAGTGCTTTGGCTTCCAAATGTACATGGACATTTTTTGGCAAATGTGACAACGGGCCCATATAGTCAGGGTCCCTTTATGTTCAGAGATGTAGGTGGCTTGTGGTTATAGTGTAGCTCAGATGTACAACTTTTCCATAATTACAGAAAGGCAGAAACTTCTATTGGACAGTGCAATCCTTAGGATGGTCATACTATTTTAAGTTTTTAAACAGATTATGAAGGAGTAAGATCTGCTTGGTCCTTCATTTGCAACCCAAGTGACTATCTCCCAAGGTACTACATATTTTTTTTTCTTGCCCAGAACGATGGAATGAACTCAGTTGGGAAAGTAGTGCTGCTCATTGATGAAGAGAGTGGGTGGCCCAGGTTCAAACTCAGGCTCATCCCACCACTCCCTGCTTGGTGCCTTTGGGCCTCAGGCTTTTATTTTCATTTGGAAATGGGGGATCACAGTAAGGTATACCTTGCTGAGATGGAAGGTATGTGAAGGGCTTACGCAGACATTAAATTAATGATGACTAAACTCAAAGCACAGGGCCTAGCATGTCAGATGCCACTTATTTTTACTCATGCAATGAAAAATCCGCAGTGGAATGTCTCCGCTTGCACCCTGTTTTTGTGCTTTGCCACAATTTTGGAAGTGTTCCCTAGCAAATTGCCCTAAACGACTAACTCACCCAACTCTGGTCTAAATTGTGGTATTAGAAGACTTGATGCTGCAACCTAGCAAGTTTGGGGGCTCCACTAAGTAGGAAATAAAACCTTCCACTGAGGAAGAAACATGTCTTGGCTTCAGAAACCAGGTCCTGAAGCGTTAGCCCACTTCAAGCCTCAGGTGCCAGAGGTGCACAGTTGGCTGAGCCTGTTTGTGGCCTTGCTGTGGCAATGGAGAGAGGGGTGGGGTTCCCATCTACTTACCTCTAAGTTGAGCTCCTCGATGAGTTGCTGGGAGGCGTTGTACTTGCTGAGAGAAACTTCCAGCTGCGTAGCACATTGCTTCAGCTCCTCTTGGAGATTTCCTTTCTCCTCCTCCTGTTTCCTCAAATTTTCTCTCAACTGGTCACCCATTAAAGAGCAAAGCCCCAGAAAGATGTGTGAACCACTCTCAAAGCTCCCTCTCCTCCTTCTCTTCCCAAGGTTCCCTTCTCTGCCCTGTGGCTTTCCTACTCTGTCTCCTAAGCTCTGAGCACCCATGACCTCTGCATCCATCCTGACCCAGCTCCATCCACATCCATCCTGGGATTCGGGACCCAACCCTGTCTACATTCTCCTTCTCACCATCTTTTCCTTCTTTTTATCCTCCTGTCGCAGAGCCTCAATTTCATCCTCCAAAAGCTTCTCGTTTTCTTTGCTCTTTTTCAACTGCTCCCGTTTGTCCTTCAGTGTCTGTGTTAGCTCTGGTATCTCCTCTTCTAGCTTGTTTTTGGCACCTAATAGGTCCCTGTTCTGAGAACATAAAGACTGGGCTGGAAGACAGCCTTGCACTATATCGTATTTGGGAAAAGATACGCAGACAGTTGCACCCAGGACGGTCCCTTAGTTTGATAGCATATATAACAACAAAGTCTGCTTCGGGGCTCTGCAACATTTCTTCTTTGTTTAATTAGATAGACCAATTAATTTTATTTATAGATCCAATTCCCACTGTGCCAGCCTTCTCTCCCACTTATTCTCTAAATCTTTTCACATAAAAACCTCTTTGAATAAAGTTTTAAACAATCATAGAAAAGCATAAAAAGAATAATTCAGAGATCGAAGACTTTAAATTGGCTGACAAGGGTAGCCTTTGGATCCTAGTGAGAACAACACTGTTCCTTGATTATTTTTGAGCCTAACCCTTGAAAACACTTATAACTCATGATGGGAACTGGTGACTGAGAGCATTCTAACATAAATTCTGGATAATTCGTTTGCATGGGTTGATGGCAACATCTTCTTAAATAAGGACCAATATGTTTAATCTTCAGTAGGGCAGACCTTGGTGTCGGCTGCCTGCTTGCTGCCTACCTGGTACTGAACAAGTTTGACCTGGTCCTGCATGTCATTTAATTTCTGGTCTTGCTCTTCTGCTGCCTTCTGCAACTGCTTCTTTTCCTTGTCTGAGTTTTCCAGCTTCCCCAGGGTATCAGAGAGGTTTGAGGTCAGCTCATCTATCTGTTTCCTAAAGCAAAGGGACAACAGGTGGATGGGCTTCAGGGCTTGTGTTGTTGGACTATGGAGCTGGCCCCATGGGGAGTCTCTGATGTCCCACCCCTGGTGGCCGCCCACAGTGATTGGCTCACGGGGACAGGGTTCTCTGGAGGTGAGCAGAAGGTACCTGTTGCTTGCCAGCTCCTCTCCAGCTGCTACGGATTCTGCCTGCAGCCTCTGCACCTCTCTCTGTAGATCCTGGATGGTGTCTGCTTTCTGCTGGTCTAGATAAATGCAGTCCTGCAGCTTCCTCTGGGTATCCTCCAGAGTGTTCCCCGCCTGCAAGGCCTCTTCCTTGTACTGGGCTGCTTGCTGAGCTGCAGAAACCAGGAGACAAGCTGAGGGCATGTCCTCGGGAGGAGGCGTGTGTGTCAAGAGCAGACTCTCAAATAAGACTGGCTAGGAAGTCTGTTCTTTCATTTTGTGATCTACTTCAATTCCCAATCTGTCCTCACTTCTTTCCATTTCATTATTGGTCCTAAAGAGCTCTGTTCAATTATCTGACTTCAACCACTCTCTAGCCAGGGGCTCTTCGGGACTAAAATGAAATAAATTGGTTAGAAATGGCTCAGTATGTCCTGTGTGACTCATCTTATCCTAAGGGACAAATCCCAACCTGCATGGAGTTTAGTCTGGCCAGGGAGACATAGCCAGCCCACCTGTCATAGAGAACAGTGAAATATTATTTATTTTTGGTGCTGGGCATTGAACCCATCCTTGTGCACGCTAAGCATTGGTTCTGCCCTCAAGTTACACCTCCAGCTAGAGATCACAGGAAGGTAAGTTCCTGGGAACTCAGGAAGAGGGATCCATGTGGGTTAGGATATTTACAGATGGAATTGTGGAGGGACAGAGTTGATTGGGCCTTAGAGAAAGGAGAGTGGAGCTCCAGGTGTGGGACTATTAGAGTGAATGCACTGGATTGGGGGAGAATAGCAAGGACAGTTTGATTGGAAAGGAAAGATGGAGGAATGGGGCAATGGAGTTGAGTAATGGGGTGGATTAGAGGGGGCTTTGGAGGACCATGAAAGCCTGAGAGAAATGTTTAAACTTGATTCAGTGAGAAGGGACTTAATACAAGGGAAAGATGGGAATTCAATATTCCTTTGCCACACACCCTCACTCCATGGGGCAGGCACCCAGGGCTTACTTGGGAGAAGCACCCAAGTAGGTTCTCACTGCAGATCCTTTATGCTAAATATATTCTCTCGTCTGAACTTTGCTCTCTCATTCCCTCTTCCAAGTTTCCTACCCTGGGATCCTGGAAGAAGGATGGCCTTACTATCAAAATAAAGGCATGCCTTGGAAGAAGGAGGGAGGAGGATTTAAAAAGCATTGGAAGGAGCTGGGGATGTAGCTCAGTGGTAGAGTGATTGCCTAGTATGTGCGAGGCCCTGGGTTCCATCCCAGCACTGGACCAAAAAAAGTGTTGGAGAGATAGGTTGTTTTGGAAATGCCTAGTGAGAGGAGGAGGTGGGTTGGCTCAGGGGAAGTTGTTCTCCAGAGACAAGACTCACCACTGCTGCAAAGCCAGGATAGGGGTTTCTAAGTTTTGGAGGCATCAGCAGGGAAACATAGCTCTGGAGGAAGAGGGGAGCTCACAAAGCATGAAGGAGGAGAGGAGGAAGGTGGAGCACAGGTGGAGTCTTAAGGGATGGATGACTGTAGTTAGAGCAGGGGAAAAAAAGAGAAAAAGTGGTGAGATTTGTGGAAGAACAAGATAAAAACCCCTGAGAAATGCGGGTTCGGGTGCAGGCAGCTAACAGCCTCTGGAAATACAGAGTTGAAGGAAGGTGGGGAAGCAAGCAGGCTTTGGATCTTCTGTTGAAATTAAAATGAGTTCACATGACATAAGGTCTATCGTTTTAAAGTGTACGATTCATTGGGTTTTAGCATACTCACAATGCTGCGTAACCATCACCAATATCTAATTCCAGAACATTTCGTCACCTCCCAAGAAACCCTGTACCTAAGGCAAGAAGTTATTGGTGACCTGAGAAAGCAGTCTCCTCAGAGGGCCACTGTCCCCAGTGCAAGATGTGCAGAAGGGAACGCGTTTGGAGGCAAAAAGGAGAGAGGGTGTTGAAGACCAGGGTGGTTGGGTGAAATGTGGGGTGAGGGGCCAGGGTCTTCGTCTGAGAGGGCTGAGAGAATGGTGGAAGTGTGAGTTCAGCAGCTGCTTTTCCAAGCTGTGGTGGCTTCCAAGAGGAGGTAAGCTTGGGGTTGAGTGAGGAATTCAAGGGGACCCTGAGATGCAGGGGCTGATGTAGCCCCCTCAGGGTGGAGGCGTGCTGGGACGGTGCCTGTTGGGACCTCACCTGCCAGCCTGTGCTGCTGTTTGGTGTCCTCAAGAGCGTCGCTCAGCTTCTGGATCTCGCCTTGCAGGGCCGCGTACTCCATCCTGGCTTTCTCCTTGAAGGTGATTTCGAGTTCCCTCATCAGGCAATGCTGCTCCTCCATCTCCACCTCCTTCTTCAGGAGGCTGTTCTGCACCTGCGCCAGCTTCTTCTCCAGCTCGTTCAGCATTTCATCCTTTTCTTGGAGTAACTGAGGAGAGCAAAGTGGGGGAGCTGAGAAAGGCCAGGAGCCGCCGCAGGTGAAGTCAGCTAGAGATGGTCCTGAGCCCTTATCTGAGTCATGTTCTTGCTAGCCTAGATGCTGCAAGGTCCTCCCCACTGTGCTCCCAGCCACCACCACTGGTCCCCTTCAGGCTACTCTCAACGCAGATAGTTGTTCTGCTTCTGCTCAGAACCCTCCACTGCCTTCCATCTTACTTAGAGAATGGTGAGATGGGATGCGCATGATCTGGTCCTGCCTTGGCCTCGTGTCTGGCCTCACCTCCTGCCATCTTACCCCTCCTGCTTCAGGGACATCTTGGAGTGCTCCCAGCAGATCCACCATGGGGCCTTTGGAGTTTGCTATGCTTTCTGCCTGGAATATTCTTCCTCAAGACCTAGCCTGGGTAGTTCCCTCTTTTCATGCAAATCTCTGCCCAAATGTCACTATCAGAGAGGTGTTTCCATTACCACCCTGGGTAAAACAGTCACCAAGCTGTTTCAGGAATTATCAGTCCCTAACTTCCATATATCAGCATGACACATTAATTTCGTTATTTATCGTCTGTCTCCCCACACTAGAATGGGAGGTCCACGGTGGCAGGGACACTGCATGCTTTGTTTTATTCTCAATGCCTACAACAGTGGCTTGGCATATTGTAGTGCTCAAGAATATTTTTGAATGGATAAATGAATGACTCAGAGCTCTTTATCCAGGCTCCTGGTTTAGTGTGGCCATCTCTCCAGACACCTCCATTTTGACTAGTGGATTTCCTCCATGCCTGGAAACATAGAGTTTTAATGACTGGCCAGTCAATCAGCTGGATCATTTTTAAGAGCTTGGATAAAAGTTCAGAGTTGGAATAGTACTGGCTATAAAAGCTTGCACTGGCTTCCCAACCTTTCTGTTTCTAGTTCCATTTCCAGGCTCTTCCAGGAACTTGATTTATGTTGGCAGTTACTGATCTTCGAGGGCAGAGCTCCATTAACATTTTCAAACTACCCCATCTGTGTATTCTTGGGATATTTTTAATTTTCAAAGGTGAAATTCACAATAAGGCTACACATTATTTTTATAGCATTTTCTTCTGCTATCAAGTGCTAAGGTAAGGGAGCAATGCAAGAAGGGAGTCTCACCCTCTCTTGCGGCCGTGCAGTGCTGGGGAAGAACATTTTTCTTATAGCTCTTATAGAGTTGGTGTCTCTATTATGACCCCCTGCATGGCCATGTCCTTTTATTATGTGCATAAGGAATACCAAGGAAAAGCACTGGAACCGTGCCTGTGCCTAGGAGCCCCCAGTCGGTCTCCTGAAGCAATCGCAGCAGGTGGAGACCCAGAATGGGCAGACCCAAGGCCTGGCCTCACACCTGCCCCTGAGGCCTCAGGGAAATGGGCCTCACCTTTTCTTTCACGATTGCCAGCTTCTGGGTCTCAGTGAACTGCAGCTGCAACTCCTGCAGCCGGTGCTGCAGGAGGGCAGACTCTTTGTCCTTCCTCTCCATGTGGGTGGACGTCTCCTCCCGCAGCCCATGCAGGTCCAGCTCCAGCTTCATCATGTCTACACGGGACAGAATGGGGTGGCTTGCTCAGGGGGAGCTCCACCTCCTTCCGGCTCCTGCTGCCCACCAGCCCTGGCTTTACCCTTCATGATGTTTTTCTTCTGTTCTGACACGGCCTCCAGTTCCGTGCTCAGGTCCTTCACGAGGCTCTGGTACTCCTCCACGTGCAGGCACTGGCTGTCTTTCTGTTCCTGCAGGTGCTTCAGTATCTGGCAGTAAAAAGAGCAGGGCAGGATGAGGACATGGGGGAAGAGCGCTTTCTAAAATGCAAGATGCCCAGAGCAACCAGGAGAGAAACAGGAGGCTGGGGAGCAGGATGGGA